GCAAACATTTCTGTCATGCATTTGGCAAAAAGCTTTTGTTGACTATGAATTTTACCTTTGAAATTTGAGGCAAGTGCAACTCTGGCGTCCCCGTTGTTTGTGAGCAGTGGTGTGATGGCGATTTAAATAAAATACAGATTTTCAAACATATGGGTATTCTCTTGAACTTTGTAAAAAGAGAATCTGTTTACCCTCTTGACTGGAAAATACTGTTTTCATTGTCAGTTTTTCATTCATTATTTGCTAATGTTAGTGAATGTTTACATTAGAGTGCACGTCCTACTACGCTGAAATTAATACGGGGAGCGGCTGGAAACTAGCGACCTCTCCTGGCTGGATATAGTATGAACATCTTAAACTGAAAGCAATCTTTACGTGACTTGCTTTTCAAATGTTTTAAAATTGATCATCTGAGTCTAATATGATCCAGCGGGCCGTACAAGGCCCTCGGGCCGCCAGTTGCCCATCCCTGGCTTAGATTATTAAAATAGGGCCCAATGGCGCAGTCTATTTCAGTTGCCTCAAAATGGGCGCACAAATGCATTTGCTATTTAAACAACGGTGTGCGCCGGGTGTGTGATAGGGCCCATAGTGTTGTGGGCGTATCTACTGTGTATTGTTCATTGTGAAGGTCTATTGGGTATTGTATATGGAGGTCAATTTAAAATATATATATATATTTTTAATTTAGTGTAAAAAAAACGCGCTCTAAAAGCTTACAGAAAGCAAGAAATGTAAGTTTGTATTCAAGCTGATTTCACAAACAAAGATTGCGTAACAATTTATTTTATATATTCTGAAAAGTAATATTTTCTTCACCTTTTAACTTTTATAAAAGTTCCACAAAAACAGCAACATTAAGTAATAAATAGTTTTTTAATGAATTACATTGGAATTTTGCATATTTTTGATTAGATCTAGAGAAAAAAAAACTATTTCTGCGTTATATTGTAGAAGTGTATTTTAGCATACTTGGTCAAATACAACTGCAACAACTATTCTGTTAATAACTTTAACAGCCTACTTAAATAAAATAAAAACAAAAAACGCTTTTTTAAACAACAAAGATTAAGTCGATTTAACTGAGTCTAATATTTCCAGCGTCGCTTCTGTAGTGTTACATCTTCGCAAACAAGAGTTTAGGCTAACAAATAGCTACGTAATGACATTTTCTACTAGTTGCTCGGACTCTCGTATTTGTCTCAGCATGAAGAGGATGCATGAAGTGGGAGCAAAGAGGAACCACGAACCTGTCATGTCAGTGTGTTTAATGACAACTGAGCAGCAAGAGTGGCGGGGAAGGTTAAAGCCTAAGACACGTAAACTCCAGCAAGATCAGCCCTTCAACTGTCTGTCCGGACATCACATCTCAGCTGTTGGGAAAAGTAGGCTATGGAGCTCGAAAACAGTAGAAATTTGAGGGAGAGATGCACCGTGAGGCAGGACATCATCAGAGAGTTTCTGGCAGAATTATTGGGGACATTCATATTAATAGTAAGTCTTTTGCCTGTCGGGACTTCAGAACCAAGTAAACTAAGATTAACAATTTTATTATGGTAAATGCATTAGAATTATGATGAATATTGCAAGTTTACTGGACTGTTTTGTGTCAAAATTTTGTTTTAATAATGAATCATTCTGTCAGCTTATTTAATTCTTGTCATATGGGTGGTGGTGAGGCTGATATTCTTTGAAGTAGCACTTATCATTTTATAAACGCGTGGTAATAATAGCTATATGTGTGACCACATAATGATTTAGCCTAAATGCACTGCATTACATGCAACACCCTAGTGATGTATAAGTGTCTCTTATTTATGCTTCTTATTGATCAGTTCTAATGGCTATTTAATTGCATATGACTATGATATGCAGTGAAGGGCTTTATCTCAATAACTACAATGTTTTAGTCCAATTAGGCAAACGCTCAATTTCTCTGGCAGGGTTTTTTTTTTAAATGTTAGTTCTAAGTACCTGTTTCAAAACCTTCTAAAATTAAAAAAAATGCAGGGTTTTATGTTAGTTCTAAGTACCTGTATCAAACCCTTCTAAAATAAAAAAAAAATAAATAAAAAAAATAAAAAAA